TCCTTGGAAGGAAAGTTATGACCAACCTAGACAGCATATTAAAAAGCAGAGACATTACCAACAAAAGTCCATCTAGTCAAAGCTATGGTTTTTCCAGTAGTCATGTATGGATGTGAGAGTTGGACTATAAAGAAAGCTGAGCACCAAAAAATTGAAGCTTTTGAACTATGCTGTTGGAGAAGACTCTTGAGAGTCCCTTGGACTGCAAGGAGATCCAACCAGTCCATCCTAAAGGAGATCAGTCCTGGGTGTTCATTGGAAGGACTGATGCTGAAGCTGAAACTCCAATACTTTGGCCAGCTGCTGTGAAGAGCTGACTCATTGGAAAAGACCCTGATGCTGGGACAGATTGGGGGCAGGAGGAGAAGGGGAAGACAGAGAATGAGATGGCTGGATGGCATCACCAACTTGATGGACATGAGTTTGAGTAAACTCCAGGAGTTGGTGATGGACAGGGAGGCCTGGCATGCTGCGATTCATGGGGTCGCAAAGAGCTGGACGTGACTGAGCCATTGAACTGAACTGAACTGAAACATAAATATTAACAGATACATGCTAAGTGCTTAATACAGATAGAACTTCAAGTTGCAGGTTCTACTGGATCAGACTCTTAGGGTTCAAATTTTGATTCTGCCACTTAATAACTACATTGTTTGGGCAACTTATAAAATCCCTCTCTTAGACTTAGCTTCCTCATCAATAAAACACGTTTGTGAGAATTAATATGAGATATCTGCCAAGGAAAAAAATAAACATTTAATACACTGCCTGCCATTCACAGTAAAAAGGATTCGAAAACGTTACCTGGAATTATTACTATTACTAGTTAATCCTCAAAATGATACCATGATATATTAGCATTCCTGCTTTAAAGGAGGATAAATAAACTTAGTGAGATTAAAATGCTTCCCCAAGGTCAAGAAGTAAGAGGCAGAATCGAGATTCAAATCCAGGCTGTTTCCAAAACTCTTTCTTTATCATTACCCTTCCCAATTTCCCTATATTTCCATCAGTTTAATTATTTTTCATTGTTTTTAGTACTTTAACTTTTCCATTTTCTTTCTTTAACTGAATAACTTATCACTTCCATTTATTACAAAGGGAAGGTTTCCAAATGTGTAGTACAAGATCATTATTTTAAAGTTAGGAATCAAATCATAAAATACTACTAGGCTTTTTTACATGGACAGAGGAGTCTGGTGGGCTACAGTTCATGGAGTTGCAGAGCTGGACAAGACTGAGTGACTGCGCGCGCACACAAAGGTCTTTAAAGGAGATTTTGAACATTATGCATGTTACCATCACGTCAGCAAATCTATCATTTTATAAGAAAAAACAGCAAACTTTCAAAAGCTAGTAATAATTATCTTTAATAAGCAAATGCCCGATTTCATTTTAATAATTTATAAGGATAAAATTTTATAAAATAAAAATATTTGTATGTAGAAAACATTCATCAAAGCACTGTTTATAATAAAGAAAACTTAATCAGCCTCAAATGTCCATTAACAAAAACCTACTTAAATCATTCTGTATGCTTCTATAATGGAGAATTATGCAACCATTAAAACTGATTAATCAATTAATATTTCTTAATATAGAACAAACCACAATATATTGCTAAATGGAAGAAAAGAAACTTACTAAACAGGAAAGGTATGCAATTTTACAAAAACGACACATCATTTTTATATAGGGATAGTTATATAAGAAATACTTGGAAAGACACCATTGGGGGATGGCAGAGTTTCATGTGCCTTTGACTTTCTCTGTATTTTTCACACTGTTTACATTTTTAAATGGACATGTATTATTTTTATGGAGGCAATAAAGTACTAAATCATCAGTCTATGGGATATTTCTTAGGGATCTATTACCTAATCTTGGAGATGATGATGAAAGAACAAGCAAACTAGGTATAAGCCTCTATGTGGGAATTCTCCTAAGTAGACTTTGCTACATTTTACCTCCTTAGGTAAAAACAGAGGTAGAAATTAATGCTAACTACTAACAAAGTAACCCTAATGTTCAGGGTTCAGAGAATGGTGGTGCAGTCACTAAGTCATGTCAGATTCTCTGTGACCCCAGGGACTGTAGCCCACCAGGCTCCTCTGTCCATGGATTTTCCAAGCAAGAATATGGAGCAGATTGCCATTTCCTTCTCCAGGAGATCTTCCCCACCCAGGGATCGAAAGCTGGTCTCCTGCATAGCATGCAGATTCTCTCCTGACTGAGCTACCAGGGAAGCCCATTATCTTATGTTCTGCAAAGAAAGAAAAACTGCTAATAAACAATGACAGAAGTTTGTCATTTAGAATTTTCACATTATTCCTTTTTAAGAGCTCTTTTGGATAGATCTAGAGAAAAATTGCTATTATATATTATCTTTGTAAATACAGGAAAAATAAAACACTTCTTCACATTTAACTCTTCTGAGTCACTTTTTCACTCAGAATTATCTAATGTCTGTGTTTTCACACAATATTATTCTCTGGCCACGAAAAGCTTTGGTGATACAGCATTTCTTTAAAAAGTATTCCTCTACTACTGTCTCGAAAATTTTCTTTGAAGCTACTACCTCCTATTCTGATATCATAATGCTGATATTCTCTTGATCTTATCACAGGTGCTAAAAGAAGCTTTTAGATGACAACCAGGACTCACATTCTTTCTTCACAACATTCTTAAATGGTTTATTGATTGAAACATCAACGGGTTGCAACTGTATGATACCTGAGATGCAACTACATTCACAGTGCACAATGACATATATATCACAGCTGCCACTTGGCGAACAATACTAAGGCATCAAACAATAAATCGGGACTTATCCCAGTTTCAGAAATGTTAAAAAGTTGAAGGTCTATCATAACTGGGTGAAACATGACATTAAGTTTATCTAAGAAAGACACTTCAGTTGAAAAAATAATACATAGAACTCACCCTCCCCCAAGTCAGGAAATAAGCCAGTGAGAAATGTCCTCCTCTTACCACTTTAATGTAACACTTCAGGAAGAAGGAAAGCAGAGCAACTGTCCTTGAAAAGGACACCATAAAATACAAGCAGTGGTGAGAGACCAAGGATACTGTGAGCAGAGTTAAAAAGTCATCCTTCTTTGGCATGCCTCTACCCGTGGCAGGAGAGATTTTACAGATATACCTTTTACTTGTTAATAGAATGGCATGAAATAGCAAAAATAATTAATAATAGATAATCTCTAAAGTTCTTTGTAGCAACAAATTTCATTATTCCACTGCCCTGGATATACTGATTAAGTCAGTGACAGTAACATTTGGTTTAATATAAATAATAAATAAAATTTAATTAGAAAATATAGTGCCTCTTACATTACTGCTTGAAAATATTCATCATGATCTGGTTCCAGAGAACTCTAAAATTCAAAACTGAAATAAATTGAAAAACCATACTTTAAACAAACAATGCAAATAAGGTGTTAAAAAGAAACAATCGCATCTACTACTTAAAAGCAGGAAATTTTTAGACAAAATTTTAACTAAACAAATGTTAATAAA